TTCTGTTGTTAGAAGGAAACATATGGCCAAGAATATAGCTTAGCGCTGATCACAGACAAATGGTGTAGGCCAAAGGCATCCCTGCTGCCTGGGCAGCACAATGCCACTTGTACCACCTGCTTCTGGATGTGGGGGATGGAAGGTGCCTGGCTCAGCATGTTGTGCCCCATGCTTCCTCTGTAAGAACCATCTGCATTTTATGGAGCTGTGTCCTTTCCCCTAATAAAGAGACTGCTGTACAGAACCCAGGCTGTGTGCATTTACTCAGCTCAGCAAGGGGTGTGCCTGGGCTGGATTTAGGTAAGGGGAGGGTTAGCTGCCCCCTCCCACTGGGGGCCTGGTGCCACAATCCAAAAGCGGCCTGACATCGTGCTGCTGCACCGGCTGGGCTTGCTGCTCCTGCCCTAGGGTCACCAGAGCAGAGCTGGCGGTGTGCACACTGGGACCTTGGTATGGGTGGGCCCCACAGCCTGATCCCTGGCTGGGCAGGTGTAACATTACAAACTGCTGGCCATCAGAATTTGTGGCTTTGCTGATACACAGCATGCTGATACGAAGTGGGGCTGCTCAGTAACATCTGCTGAAGCCCCTGTCATCACAAGGGAATAAGCCATCTGCAGTGGTTGCAAAAATAGGGTGTTGGGGGGGGGCAGAGGATGGTACAGCTCAGCACCCGCTTTCCAGGGCTGTGTTCTTAAAAGCATCATGCATCCCAATGCCTAGACAAGGCAGCTCTTCTCTGTCTGAAATAATGTATTGAGCTGCCGAAGGAGACTTAAGTCAGTGAAATATTTTACATACACCCCCTTCCAATAATGGTAATTGTCAGACAGGTTTTTAGTGTTTAAAATAATCCAACTCAGTCTCTATGTCTGTATAAAGCCTCATAGCAGTTCACAAATTTGTCTTTTCTGCTTGTGGCACCTTAGAGACTAACAAATTTATTTGAGCATAAGCTTTCGTGGGCATCCAAAGGCTTATGCTCAAATAAATTTGTTAGTCTCTAAGGTGCCACAAGTACTCCTGTTCTTTTTGCAGATACAGACTAACACGGGTGCTACTCTGAAACCTCTTTTCTGCTGTTCACTTTGCCTGAATTGGACTGCCTTTTTCTTGTACTCAATTTAAAGGAGTGACACACCATTTACAAGGATTTCCTTTTTAAAATGCTATTTTAATTACTCCTAGCACTTCATCATTTACCTTCATTAACATTGTGCAGATGGATGTCATTGTGCTAGTTAAGTGATATTTTAATAGCAAATAATCATTGAAAATAGTAATAGTTACTAGTAGCTTCAGCAATGACATCTCACACAGTTTCTAGTAGAGCACTTCCGGTTGGTATGGCAACATTTTTACTTCTAAATTTTTGTTCTTTTTTCATTTTTTATGCACAAGTTTATTCTTTGGGATCATATGACATCAAGGCTGACTGATTTCCCTTTTTCAGATGCCTTTGAGCCGCCAATGGGGATTGCCTTTGCCAACAGTTATTTTGCATCTTTATCCAGCACCCTAGTGCTTTTTCATATCACCACTTGTGTGTGGAACTTGGTTCCCAAATATTCACCACAGGCCAGATTTTTAAAGGGTGAAAGCACCTAGATGCTTTTGAAAATCCTACTAGTTGTCTAAATACCTTTAAAAATCCAGCCCTAAGGGCATTATACTATCTTGTAAGTAATCCTTTTCAAAGGCATACTTCTACTGTGATGTTTAGTAAATATAAATTTACAACCCTGAGAGAGACTGACAACCATAAGTATTTAAAAATCATGTTGTACACCAAAAAGTCATTAAATTAAAATAAATAAATACATTTGGAGTCCTCTTAATTTGCCTTTTTGTTTCTGAGCCTTTAGGGCACATAAGCTTCATACTTTGCTGTTACCTTTCCCAAATAATCCATATACCTAAAATGGTTGTACATTTGTATAACATTCAATACCATTTTGTATTTCCAGTAATATGTGATTTCCCCCCTCCCTTTGTATTGGCTGCCTTTTGGAGAAACCAAAGTGCCTTGTCTCCACTATGTTTTTACATAATGCATAAGTTAACCCATGAAAAAAACACACATTTTTTAACACTGAGAACAGAACTATAACGCTGACTCACATGTTCAATTATTATTCAGAGCCTGACAAATCTCATATGGATTGTGGCTAACACTGCTCCTTCGCCACCAGAGGTGTTTGCGTCTGCAGCCTGCCATCGTGTGGATGTCATGGAAAACCAATTAAAGCATTTTAAACTAAAGGAATTAACAGAGGCGTTTCCCCCCTCAATTTCCCTTATCCCCTTCCCTTATAAGGGCCTGCAGATGGTGTGACACAGCTGTAGAGTTGATGCACATAAATTACAGCGCCTTAAACTCCTATGTGATCACGTTCGTTCAGAAGTAAAGTGGTCTTCGTTTTGAGACTAGCAGTCAGGGTAAGCACAGATCGCAGGAGTTCTTCCCCACAGCTATTAATCATCAGACCTTTGACCCCTCTTGAACACTTTTTAAAAT